TTGATTAGCATCTTAGGTCATTATGAATAACTAAAAAATAACGATAAAACGAAAAGTGACTATACTTTTAACCAAAAATGCGGCAATAGCAATAGAATACTCACAAAGTCTGTAGATGTAAAAAAAAATTTCGAATATGTAGGACAGTCCAGACAGCGAAGGAGAGAAAGGGCTTGACAAAGAAAAGAGACAGCACACAGGTGCAAATGAGCAGAACCGTGTTAACAATAGAGGCATATGTAAGCGAACATATTTATTTACACATGAATATTTTTCTCTAAAACAAAGCAATCTCTAGTTGATCGAAAAAGGAGTCACCATTTCCCAAAAGCCCTGGCTTTCGGTGAAGATGACTAAGCGAGACAAAAGCGTGAAATGGACCAGTCATTCCGATTTCATTATCATTCATTAAAATTGTAGCCTAGTTTCCATCTATAGCCTGAGCCACATGCATATAGACATGCGTTGGCGTGTGCAACACCGGGGACAGATATCGATGGATGTCGAGTGGTAGGACGAAAGAAGAAACATGTAATTATCGAGCTGGTAGGCAGGCGAAAATATAAGAATGAGGCGAGAATACAAAGCCATGGAAAGCAGAGGGCCATAGATAAGACCAAATCCCAATTTGAGTGCTAGTAGACGCAAGTTCGGCTACCTGCATAAGAAAGGGAGTCAACATGCTTTAAATCTGTCAATCTTCCTATACTAAAAGAACCACTGTGCGTTCACGCAAATCGACAGCGAAAAGGAGATATGGATTCATCGAAGCTATGGACTATCACACTAAAATCAACGTTCATGCGAAATACAGGAACAACTTTAGGAAATTCTCTAATCCGACAATGAAGGAACAGCTTCCAATTGACTTAGCAAATAAAATGAAGGGGCCTAAGACAGAAGGTCTATATGGAGAATGCTTTCTAATAAGCCCACTCACCTAGTCGACAAAAATAGGCATGAAATAGATCAGAGTCCCCAATGCAGCGTAGCACTGAGTGCATACAATTCGAGGCGAAATAAATGAAAGCAGGATCAGAAGGAACGAGAAATTTCATAAGATCTCCCAGAATGCGGGCGGACTAGTTGAGCGAAACTAATCTAAGCCATTTTAACTTTCAAAATGAGCTGTAAATGGGAGAATGAGAGAGTGAACAGGAGATCTCCTCTGAGTTGCACTAAGGCAGAGTTATATCCAAGCCCTTCGTGCATTCACCTCGAAAGGAGCATGCACATTATCATGGTCTTGATATCTACGTAGACGGAAAATAAGCTCACAAAAGACTCATCTCGCATGATGAGAAATGTCTGGAGTAATATTAAAAGTCTGATATAAGCAAAGCTTGTGAGTGATAGTAGAGAACCGGATTGATGAGACGGAAGCCAAATCAATTACAAAGAAGGCCGGTAAGTCAAATACCCGCAATAGATTCCCTCAATCTTGACCAGCACATTTGACCGTACCGAGGTGGGGATGGGATGCAATTCGTATGGGTTTGCATGAGTCCGTATAACGATGAGTTTCATTGACACGGCCTCTATACTCGCCTTTATGAGAGTATTCGTGAATATGTGGACAAGTGGAGCAAGTTGTGATATGCCTCAAGGAAATTGATGGTCCCCAATGAGTAAACTAAAAGGATAGTGAGGCGATGTTTAAGGTAGAGAGAAAGAATGAAACACGAAATATATAAAGATGTGATAAGGTAATAAATGGAAGCTATTGAAAATGTAAATTGGAGATATGAAGGAGAAAAAGAGCTGGGTGGGCGCCGCAGGATATCAAGATATGTTGTTATGGCGAGCGGTTTAAGTAAAGAGAAAAAGCAGAGCCAAATATTATAAAATAGGCAGATAGACGATAAAAATCAGTGTACAAAAATGCACGTTTACAATTACGACAATAATATGACATAAAAATTGTATATCTTAGTTAAGCAAGATGAAGTAGAGCCGTAAATATAAATACTTTGGTAAATTCAGAAGCCTCTTTACAGATAAGCTATTTCAAAGAGATGAGCAAGTGTTGTTGGAGTTTTGTTCAAGCATGAGAGAAAGGCCCGTGATTAGGGCAATTTTAAAATGTGAGAAATAATGGTGTGTAATTATATAATAGAATGACTCTTAAAGATCGGAATGAACCCAAAATATTACGCTAAATGTGATATTCACTATGAAAACTGATCTAGCCTCGACTAGTTGCAAGTAGATAAAGCAAGACTAAATAACATTTTATTCAGAGGAAAGAGGTTTTTGAGGCTATCAGTATATCTTGGATACTTATATTAGCATAAAGTAATGAAGAACTGACAGTGGAATCCTCCCCGATTATATAAGTAGGCCTCGCGTTTCCAATAAAATGCACTAAGCCCTGTTCCCCAAACGGTATTCTTATTCAGGGTGGACTGTAGTTTTGACCTCTGCATTACCTGGGTTTGATTCCCGCTGGCGAGACCAAAACTACAGTCCAACTTTGTGGGAGGAAAGGCTAAGTTAAATTACATGGAAGTGTGAGACCCACTCATAACAATGTAGGTAGATCTAGGAACACTAGAACTCTTACTAAACGCAAAGGGTGATAAAGTCACCCGAGAGAAGCCGTGAAGTAACTGCATTGTTCTAACTCTTTTCTTGGCAAAATTTGTATCATGCAACTATACCAGCCTAATGTGATAGTCTCTCCACCTTCGAAAGTTCTATAGCTTAATAGCCTTATTTCCACAGCCAGTAGTATGCATACGCTGGTTTGCCGGTCAACAAGTGTTGAAAGTGTACATGCACATCAGGTTGACCTTCGCATAGCACAAAAGATCGGATTACCCCATTTTTATCCAGAGTCTTTTCAACAAATTTAAACATTAGCCTGGACAGTCTCGGATGAACCATGCCGGCTTGATCTCAGAACTTATTGCTTCCACTTGATGAGCTAGTGAATTTTTCCGCACCTTTAATCGTCTCAGGCAAGTTTTAACGGGACCCCATCAATATTAGTGGACTATCGTATCGAACCAGCGGATGCTGGGATGTCACGCAGTTCAGGTACATCGATGAGAATGGCAAAGGAAAATCAGTCCAGTCGGAGGCGAAGAAAGTTAACAGAAATTAAATAATGCTGCTACATTATGAGCCAGACCGCAGCTAAGGGCATAGCAAGACGAAAATAGAGTGGGATTAATATAAACCTTTAGGTACCTCTGGATAAATAGGACAAATTTCCCTTATGATCATGAAGACAATTCATCTAATACATAAGAGATAAAGGAACAAAGGTCAATCTAGTTCTATTCGAGGTATTGAGGGCGTTGGCGGTTGCTTAACTAGACTATATAGATTCGCATGAGAATGTACCGTGCTAAATGGCGCTTGCTTCAACCTTCAATAAAGGCATGTGAGTCGAGGTAGTGGTACAACTAACGTCATGAGAGAAAGTAGCATAGATAAATAAATAAGTATGCATATCTATCGGAGTTGGCATGATAGACGGCCGAAAAAAAGATGAATAACAAGAATGTCTCTAAAAGATGGCATTCCGGTTTCGCTTCATGCTAAGAGCTGAGGCGAAAGTAGCGAGAAGGAGAAGGGATTGGGCGTGGCTGAAATGAACCAAATGGTATGTTGGATCAGGCTTGACTAATAAACACCAGCTCTAAACAGCTCGGACTACAAAAGGCGATGCAGTCAGGCTTGTATAAAACTCAGAGTCTGAGTTACTATGCGAATGCGTGTGCGAAAAATATAATCAAGGTTAAAACACAAAAATGTCACAGGAAGTGTTACACTAGTAAGGGGTAAGCCCCCAAGTCTGGAGGCCGCGGCCTCTATTACGAGATCCTAAAGCCAAGCCAAATGCCACAGTATAAACATGTACACACGGGCGGAGTGGCGAGAATGTTTTAATGTGCGCTTATGTTTGTGCTTGTGTAGACTGCGTGTGGACAGAACAGAGCACGAGAGTGTAAGAGAGCAACGATCAAGTAACCAAGCCTTCCAAGCATATGTGCACGTGTTTGCAGAAAATTTCTATCTGCGCTCGGAACGAGCCAGAGGCGTATTTGCAGCCGAGGCCGGACCAGAGAAGAAATGCGGCAAGTACGAGTGAAATGCACTTCTCGCAGAATCAAGGAGCCCAAGTGAGAAGGGCTGGAAAGTGGGCGAATTGAGGTCGACAGCGAAAGGGCAGGGAGAAGAGGCAGTGGAATTAAAGGCGAAATGTGCGTAATGAAGGTGCCATGGTCGAAACACACCAGTCGAAATCAGGTGAGGTCTAGAGAAAGTTTGTGCTTGTGTGCATGTGTTTAAATGACCCCCACGAATACACACACACACACACACACACACAAAGTGCGTAAGGGGTGGGGAGAATAAAGGTGGTAGTAATTGCGCCATCCAGGAGTATCAATCGGGCCATTTTGGAAGATGAAGCGGATGAGGCAGGTGAAGGGGGCCCATCAGAAATGCTCCTAAAGGCGCATTTAGACCCGTCAACGCTGAAGATGGGGCAAACGCTACTCGAGTATGGCCCACTTCGGTGACAGGCAGAGACGGGCAGATACCGAAGCTCGACGCCTGCCAGGTTTACACGATAACTAAGGCCGCATAAATGCTCACACTTGGACAGGAGGACAAAATTCTCCTTTGAAGTATGCATGCATACGAAACGAAAATCGTGATATATACATATTGATATAAAATTACTTATTCCTGTGTATATGGATGCTTTGGCGAAAATGCTCAGACTGCATGCACAAATGCATACGCACAAACATAAATATCGAGGATACACACATACAAGATTTGGGCATGAAAACAGGCGCCTATAACAAACAAGATGGCAGCTTAACTTCACTGTGTCGGGAAATTCACAAATGCGCATATCATGGCCCATAAGAAGGGTCGAAGCTACCAGTATGGAGTGGGAGCAAAAAGAGCAGGGTGTATTTTCAGGGTAGAAGACATGCAGAAGAGTCGGTGAAAGATAAGCCTACACGAAGACGAGGCGAGAAGCGTGACTGGGGAGATGGAAATTAAGGGAGAAATGCAATGTGGAACCCCTGGAGGCCCAAGCAATTAATTTTGTGGGCTTTGCTACTCAGATCGACTTTCACCAGAGGGCAGCCTAGAGCCATCTGCATGTTGTTGCCGTGCCAACCGAAACATGAGTCAAGACATGAAGCCCATTTGGTAGGCAAAGGGGAGCTAAATGAAGTTTAGCCTAAGGCGAAGCTCATTTCATCACTCATCACCAACTAAAAGCAGTACCTTTTCTTTGCATGTCAGTCAACCCAGTTACAAGAGAAGGCCTAGAAATAAAGCTAGAGACTCTGGAGCCTACGAATCAAGGCTTTTGGCAAAACAATCATGATAGGTATAATTAAAGAATTAGCGAATATTATATTCTACTGTTTTCGCCTGATTTAAGAATACTAGAAGGGGTCAATTAAGCTAGTATTCTTGAACTCGGAGAGTGAGACCCATAAATCTGTAGTCGAAAATTATTGTTTTTGTCAAGCGGAATTCGAGAACGAATTATGTTAATGGGGCAAATAGACCACATAAAGAATTTACAAAAGAAGAGCTCCCACAGGATCCAGACTTCGAGATTAATTTGTTTAGGCATGAAAGAAAAACAAATCTTTTCTATTTATATATAAAGACAAATTGATAGCAATTTGGTATAAATACGAATGTAGAGTTGGAGCCGCCGAGTATTTGGCAAAGATCATGAGTAAAAACCAAAACGAAGCTCATGCAGCTCCTCATTCAGGTGAATGCATGTGACAAACTTCTTGATGAACTGATACATACACATTGACCAATATGGATAGAGGACATCTAATGTTGGCTGATGAATAATGATGTATTCGGAAAGAAAAGGCATGCAAGAAAAGAGGAGTGAAGCAAGCTGGCCCCGATATTGCACATCTGGGATAAACGTTACGAAAATGAATTCGCCACAAGTGTATATACCATCAAGCCTGTCATCACTAAAATCTATCGACTTGTGAAGTAAACTTGATCAAATTCTAGTTGACTAACTTTCTTAGTCCATTATAACGATCAAGCGAATTGTGTCATCCTGCCTTCGCCATCAAGCCACATATACGCTCAAAGGGTATGTATGCTGCCTTGTGAACAGCTATGTTCGTCTCCTTTCAAAGATAAATCGTCACAAAGGAAGAAAATCTATCTTTAGATAAAAACACCACAAATGAAAGTACAAACTAGGGTTGGGACCCAGCAACAACGTAATCTGGGTGTATGCAGCTGGTAAGTGAAGAGAATTGGTTCACAATGATGATGGCGCAAAGGAAATCAA